GACAGGAGAAAGAAATTAAAAGGAAATGAATAGGAAAAGAAGAACTCAAACTATCACTATTTGCAGATGACATGATTCTAAATTTAGAAGATCCAAAAAATTCCACCAGAAAACTTCCAGAACTTATAAATGAATTCAGCAAAGTAGCAGGATATAAAATCAACACCCATAAATTGAATGTATTCCTATACATCAATGATGAATCTACTGAAAGAGAAATTAGGAAAACTACCCCTTTTCCTTTTATTCTTAACATCATGTTTATGAGATTTAGCTATATTGATACATGTATATGTATTCATTTTAAATTGTGTACAGTATTTCATTTTATGAATACACTGCATTTTATTTCTTTATTTTTTTAAGGATGGAGGAAATTTATATTGATTCAAATTTCCCTATGGTCAATAATCCTGCAGAGAAATTTCTGTTTCCCTGTACAGAAGTCTCAGAGTTTATTAAGACTATAAATTCCTGAGTTGTAGAGTAAGGATGTCTGTTATGAAGCAGATACTGTAAATTGTTCCCCATGATGGGTGTACCAAATCCTCACTCTTACACAGAGTTCCCACAGTACCACATTCTTGCCAACCACAGGAATTTATTTTGTACCCTCTTATAGGTAAGAACTACTATATTAAGTTCCTCTAGTTTTCCTTCCTCTGTGTTTTACTTCATGCGTTTATAACCACCTGATTTGCTTGGCATTTTGTTTGTTCACTGTTATATTGTGTTTTGACATTAAATTGTCTCTTTTTTCCTTATTGATGTGTAAGTCTTCAATATTGTCTGAATTTCATGAGTTTCCATGTCTGTCCAGTCAAATGCTTCTCCTAAGGTCAACTTCTAGTTGTGGAAAAGTGATTTCACTTAGCTTTTGGTATCTTTTGGTGTGCCGATATTATAAATGTGAACACAGGTAAATTCAGCAATCTTTTCTTTCATAGTATAAACTTGTCAAGTAATTAAATCATTTTCTCTTAATTTTATTCTAAAAGCTTTTAAGTTTTGCTTTATTGTATTTATGTGCTAAATCAAATTACTCAGCATTAATTTATGAGTATGATGTGAGTAGGGGTCTCAATTGATTTTCTTTCATAAGATTAACTATTCTTTCCAGAATTGTTTAGGGAATAGTTCATCCTTTTCTACCCTCTTATAATGCATTTCTGTTATTCATTGAGTCTCCAAATATGAATTGTTCTATTTCTAAGGACTTATCATAGCACTGGTCCATTTTTTTTCTACGTCTATTCCAATACTACAATGTTTTTAGATTTATAATATATCTTAATATATAGTAGTAAATTCTTTACCTTATTCCTTAATTTGTCTTGATAAGCTTTACTTTTCTATATAAATTTTGGGATTACCTTGTCAAATTACATGAGACTTTGATTGGAATTATACTGAATTTATAGGTTAATTTGGAAAAAATCAATAGCTCTACAATAGTCAGACTTTCATCTATAGAAATGGCATATAATTTCAATTTTTAAGTCTTATGTTTTCCCATAGTCTCATAATCTTCTCATATAAACTGTATTATATGTGTGTGTTAAGGTTTTTTGTTTTTTCTGGGGGGGGGGCGTGGTATTGGGGATTAATCCCAGGGTCGCTTGACCACTGAACTACATCCATAGTCTTTTTAGTCCTTTTATTTATTTATTTATCTATTTATTTATTTATTATATTTATTTTTTAGTTGAAGGTGGACACAATACATTTATTTATATGTGGTGCTGAGAATCGAACCCAGGCCTCACACATGCTAGGTAAGCGCGCTACCACGGAACCACAACCCCAGTCCTCCTTTTTATTTTTTTATTTTGTGACAGGATCTCACTGAGTTGTTGAAGAAGGCCTTGAATCTGTGATCCTCCTACCTCGGCTCTCTGAGTGGCTGGGATTACAGGTGTGCACCACTGTGCCTGGTATGTGTTAACTGTCTGAAAGTTATGTTTTCCAATCGATGGTCAATGGTGACGAGGTGCACGCTTTGTGATATTGAGCTTGTAACCAACAACGTTGCTGAACTCTCTTCCTAGAGCTGAAGGCCTCCCTGTGGATTTCCTTGGGTTACCTATGTAGACAACAGCCTAAGCTGGAAAATGATGTCAGATCTGTTTTCCTTTCTTCTATCGGTTTCTGTTCATCTCTCTGCACTCTATCCTGAGCAGCTTCCTTATATATAAATTTATATTCATTGGTCTCCTCGGCTGCATTCATGTGCCATTAGATTGGAACGCTAAGATTTTAATCTCAATGGCTATATTTTTCATTTCTAGAGATTTTGTTTGGTACTTCTTCAAAATCATTTTATTTTCATGTTTTAATTTCCTTCTCTCACATCTTTAGTTATTATGAATATTCTTGTTTTTATTATCTCTATCCAAGAGTTCTGCTTTATGACATTTTAAGGGATTAAGCCTCTCTCTCTCTCTCTCTCTGTGTGTGTGTGTGTGTGTGTGTGTGTGTGTGTGTGTATTTGTGACTCTTGCTCACAGTGGGATATTTCCTTAAGTGGTTCATAATTCGGGGAATCTAGCTTGACCTGGTTTAAAGACATATCTTTCCAGATAATTTCTGTTCACCTCTTTCAGGGTCTTCCACAGATCATCCCGGGTTATTTTATATGTCAATTTTCTCAGGTATGGGCTCCGGGAGCAATCTGGTATAAATATGAACCCTGACTTTCTATAAGGCCAAATCCATGCTCACAAGCTTCCAGGGGTGACTTTCCCCCTCTCTAGCCTCAGCTAGGACAGGCCTCTTTGACCATCCCAGGTCAGTGAGGAGACCTCTCTGGTTTGCCATTTGACTGAATGTACCTATGGTCACTACTACGGTTTGAAGGTCCCTTCCAAAACTCATGTTCAAGTTCAAGTTGTGTTGGTTTGAAGAGGACGGACCCTTGAGAGAGGACTGGGCCATGGGGGCACAGCCCTCATGAATAGAAGAGGGCATTGTTAGGAGGGTGGATTGATTATAAAAGGGGAGAGTTTGGCCTCCTTTTCCTTCCTCCGTCTTTCTTGCTCTCCTGCCACGTGGTGCCTTCGTCCATGTGAGGACACAAAATGCAGGCCCTCATCAGATGCGGCCCCTCAGTCTTGGACTTCTCGGCCTCAGGATCTGTGAGCCCCCCAAAAAAAGAAAATTCTGGAAGCCGGACTATAGCAGCCCAACCCCTGCCCACGCTTGCCAGACTGTGTCTCGTCTATATGGCCATGACACGCCAAGCCTCCAGAGCTCTCTACCCAGCACCCACCCTCAGGGCAACTGCAGAACCATTTCATGGGTTTAACGCTGTGTGTGTGGCCTCTGAGCCCCTCTTTGCTCTGGGCACTTGGAGATTCTGTTACTTTCCATGTATTTAGTTACATTTAAGTTGTTTCATTATAGACATTTCAGGGTTTTTTCTGTCCATAATGTTGTTGAGAACAGAAGTTTCAGTTGCCTTCTACCTTTTTTTATAGGATGGGCCAAAAAAAAATGACTCAAATCTATCAACCTTCTCTTTTATAAAATTTGTCTTTAGAGATAAGCTTGGAAAGTTCTTTTTCAATATCAAGATTATTTACCCATGTTTATTTTTGTGGTTTTGTGTCTTTACATTTCATATTTAAACCATTTACAATATATTAAATGCAAGAAAACCAAAATCTTACATAGTAACAATAAAGCTATTCAAACAGAACAAAATATAGCCATAACCCAACTGTATCTCTTGCTGCCAATAACGGAGTTTCATACAACTGCCACTCAACCACAGCCTGATGGTCCAGGGAGGCTTCCAGGGCTCTGCATCACAAGTGACTCAGTCCAGACCAGGGGTCACATTCCCATAAAACCACATCAACCCAAACCCTGTATAACCACCCAACACCCCAGCAATGCCAGGAGACTCTGACAGACTGAGATGTAGCTTTTACTTTTGTTTGCAAAGAGAAGAAGAAAAGTAAAATTACAGCCAGACGGGCTCAAATTAGTGAAAGAATTGGAATACACCCTGCAGAGAACTATCTAGAGTCCCAGGTTTAGAAAGTAATACAAGAAGAAAATTTTCTTGCTCTACAGTGTGGGAGATCTACCTGCCTCTGGGGGCCACCTGAGCAGCTGGATCTGAGACAGGGCTAGTTCTGCTGTAAGAGAGAAAAGCGGAGACCCAGAGGCTAGAGGGCCTTTCCCACCAGCCTCAGTGACAGATCCCAGGATCATGCTGCTTCCTGAGGTCAGCCCTGCTCCATGATCCCCTAGAGAAGGTCTGGCTCTGTGCCTGGCCAGAGCCAAAATAGCCCATGCATGTGGGTCAGGAGACAGTTCCTCCATGCCTGACTCTACCTTGACTAAGAAGTCACCACCTCCTATCTCTGGGTCTCAGTTTTTCCTGTTGGTACGGTGAAGAGGCCAGACTTAATGTTGTCTCAAGGGGAAAAAAAAAAAAAAATCAGAATTAGAACTCAGACATTCTGACTTCCAGGGTCAGTCTCCATAATTACAACAATAACGAGAATAACCGCAGCTATCATTTATTTTGAATGCTTATTGTTTATCAGACTCTGAGCCCCACACATGATACACATTATCTGATTCAATCCTCATTAACTTCCTATGAGGTTGATATTGTCATACTAATTTTACATTTATTAAATTTGACAAATACTTATTGTGCCAATTACCAAGACTAAATGATTTGCTTGAGGTCTCGTAGTCAGTAAGAGCTGAGTCAGAATTCAAATCTGGCTCTGCCTGATGTTCTCGCGGTGCCTAGCTATCTGTCCATCCATCTAACTGTCTGTGTCGCTGTCCTAACCTCCCTCCATATCCACTCCAAATCTCTATCTCTCCAGGCCTTAAAAGCTGACCCTGAGACCCCCTCTTCCCAGAGGTCTTCCAGGATGCCTCCCACCCTTGGAAGACCCTTTGTGTTCAGGATCCCTTCCCCCCTTCCCCCTCGCTTGGGGACGCCTGTTGGAGAACTGGTGGCAGGTGGCTCTTACCAGGTTTCCGACCTGCAGCATCTCCTCAAATTCGGTGGTCATGTTGTAGTGCTCCAGCGCCATGAAGAGCGTGTTGAGCACGATGCACATGGTGATGGTGAGGTCGGCGAACGGGTCCATGACCACGAACTTCACTTTCTGCTTGATGGACATCCACAGCGGGCAGCACTCCCAGATCAGGTAGCGCTGGGCAAAGCGGTTCCAGCAGGGTGGACACTTGCGGTGAGACTCCTCCAACTCTGGGGGGGACAGCCAGGGAGTTAGCTGGGTTTTGTTGACTGGGTCACACTGTCTTCCTGGGATGCCAGGAGTATGGGTATGGCTGGGCTGAAACGGGAAGGGCTGCTTGGGGTAGGATGAGTCTAAGGGGATGCTTGGGAGAGGCAGGGGTGCGATGGATAAGAGCTTGGGACACGCCAGGACAGATGTGGGCATGCTGGGAAGATACACAGACATGGGAATGCCTAGAAAAGAACAAGACACCGGAGGCCAGGCAAGCACATTTGAGGCTACGGAGGATAGAAAAGTCTGAGTGCAATGCGGTCAGATGGAGGAGGCCCGTGCAGGCTGGGGTGGAGGCAAGGGTCCCTAGATCGGAAGTGTGGAGTGCTTGCACAACACAGGGGACTGACCTTCCAGTGCGCTGGTGAGGATACTGACAGCACTGAGGGCCCGCTGCCGTGCTCCTGGCTCCTCAAAGCCATCCACACATGGAGCCTGGGGGGTCAGCATCTGGGGTCCACCTGGGTCCTCCGATGGTGTGGTCTGGGTGCAATCAGAAGATATGTGTCAATCTGGTTTGGGTGTGGGGGGGTCCTGCTCCCAGCTGTCGTCCTGCTGGGCCTGGGGTGGCCAGTCCAGACTCAGGCTGGGGACATTACAGGGGACAGGATAGAGGTCTTGATGGGACATTAGATGTTGGGCTTAGAAAAGCTAAGTCCAACTCTTTCCCAGCTAATAATTGCCCTGCTCCCATTCCTCCTGCCAATCATTTTTACCTTCATTTTTCTTTCTTTTTTTTTTTTAAATTCTCCACCACCTCTCATTGGCAGTGATTCTTGAGTGTGGTTAGGAAAACACAAGCACAACACAGGTCCTTTGTGTGCCAAATGCTGTCATATACATTAGCACATGCAAAAATGATCTGGGAGTCTTAATTGACCACAAGCTCCCTGGAGTCAAGAGCACAAAAGAGCCTGGAAAAAAAAGAAATCTCACATGCTCTAAGATGACCTCAGTAGAAGCATAAAGCAATCCTGCTTAGATGTGGCTGGTAGGGGGCCATGTATTCTGTGGAGGCAGGTTTGTATCTACCAAGAAAATTTTAAATTGGCCCTGCAATTCCTTGTCCAGTAATCTAACTTCATAAATAATTATACACACGCACTCAAAATATACATAAATGACGTTCATGGTGGCACTGTTCTGAATACCATAAAAACAAAGCAACCAATCAATAGGAAGAATATTAAAATCAATTATAGATACAACCCGACTCTGGATTCTGATACAGACAACAACGAGAATGAGGTGGTTCTGTGTATGATCCCATAGGAGCATCTCCAAGACAAACAGTTGGAGGAATAAAAAAACAAGACCAAGGTCTGGAAGACAAATACTGGTTGTTAGAGTGGAGCTCTCTGGGGAACTGGATTGGGGGCAGGGAGGGGCAGAGGTTCTCTGTTCGCTGTGTGCAGCTCTGCACAGCTGGACTTGTTTCCAACATGCGCACGCACGTCATTTGTAAAAAAAAAAAAAAAAAAAAAAAACATAAGTAAAAAAAAAAAAAAAAAAAACAGGCTTAAAAACAGAGATGCCTGGTGGATGGAGCTGGCTGGCAGGTGGTCTTCAGGCTTCCACAGAGCTCCCCAGAACCAAGGAGAGCTGCTCACAAGAACTTCATGGGAGTAGGGCCCTGCACAATCACAGCCCATGGGCTGGAGCTGTGGAGGGAACCAGGTTGCTCAGCGGGCACTAGTGGGGCTCTACAATCTGTGCAGGGCAGAGGGGGAGACAGGTGAGGGCCACCCAGTGTGGCAGAGCCAGGGAGTGGGGTGGGTACCAAAGAGACCTGGGCTCAAGTTAAGGTCAACCTTTGCAAGTGGTTAAGAGCTCTGTGAAATGTGTTCAGGAAGGTAGTGAGCTCCCAGTCATGGAAGCATTCAAGTGGAGGTTCTGGAAAGGGCTGAGGTCGCTGGCATAATAATAATACCATAGGTTCCACAACCATTTGGAGGTGGTGGTACGGGGGATTGAACCCAGGGGTGCTTTACCACTGAGCTCCGCAGTCCTTTTTATTTTGAGACAGGGTCTCGCTAAGCTGCCTCAAGCCTGTGATCCTTCTGAGTCACTGAGATGACAGGCAGGTGCCACTACACCCAGTTATAAATTTAGCCATTTAAACTCATAAGCACATTTAAGTACTCCCAACTTCTCTGCTACTTTGTTACCATCTAGGATGGTTTGAGTTAGCACCAAGAAAATATTCTCTCTTTTCCCTTTCCACGGTGGGTGAAGGAGACTTTCCTGCCCCCTGAAGCAGATTTACTTTGGCCAGGAGCATATAAGTGGATATAATGTGAACAGAAGCCTAAAGTATACCTGTGCTATTTGCCCTCCCTTGTGCTCCAGAAAACTTCCATGAATCCAGGAATCCACCCTTCCAGCCCAGGCCTCAGAACAAAGACAAGCGGAGCAGCCCCAACCTAACCCACAGTGTGAGCAAGAGGTATCCTAAAGCAGAGTTGCCCTGCCAGGCCCAACCTAGACAGGCCAAATCATGGCCAATGTGCAGATAAAGAGCTTGATAATTGAGGCTTATTGTTGTCCATTGACTTTTGGGATGGTTTGTTACACAGCATTATCGTGGCAACAGCTGATAAACCATCTTGGTGTAAGCCATCATTATCTCTTTGCTACAACTACTGCAATAACCTACTAACTGGCCTTACCTCCTCTTTCTTCTCTACCTAGCAGAAAAGAATTCCCTAAAAAAATAAACTGGATAACACCACTGTTTTGTCCAACTCCCCCCACTCTGCTCCCCATCTTTCTCAGAGTACATCCAAACTTTTTTATGACCTACAAGGCCCTACATACTTCAAATCCTAACTCTCCAAACTCATTTCTTGTTCCTTTCTTATGTTTCCTTCACACCTGGCCCTACCAGGCCCTCTCGTCCCTTCAACCTGACAAGCCCATTCTTTCCCCAGAGCCTTTGGTCCTGTTTCCTCTGGATCTTTGTGTCTGGGCTCCCTAAAATCATGTGCCTGTCAGTTTGAATGTCACCTTTTTGAAAAGGCCTTCCCTGAGCGGTCTAACCTATAGCCCCCATCCCCAACCCTCCCCAGCAACTTTCTACTGTGACCTGAACATATTTATCATTTCTCTGTCTGTTTTCCTGACTCCAGGTGAACTCCATGAGTGCAGAGGTCAGGCTTGTTCTATTCATGGCTATGAAAACAGGAGCCCCCATGCCACCTGGCACTCAACACAGCTGGATGGCACTAGATAAATAGTGGGTGGATGGAAAAATCAGTTGGGAACCAGGAGGTGCTGGTGAGAAGTCTGGCTCTGTCTCTAACTTGCTAGATGTAAGGGAAATGAAGATGAAGTTCTAACATATGGAGGAAGAAGTTCTAACATCGGTGATGGCGGGTAGAGGTCACAAGGATACTGGACTGCAAGGCTATTCAGTGGGCTTCTCCTGACTCCGTCTGGCCCTCCAGACAGGAACACTCATACGGATGGGGACAAAGTGAATCGCCACCCTTTCCCCGCAGTGTGGATAAACTGAAGGTGGGTCCTCAGTGGCCGGCTCTTCCTCCTGCCTCTCACCCTGATCAGGCACCACAAGGCCTAACCCTTTGCTGTGTTTTCAGACCAGAACTGGGCAGAAGCCACTCACTGGGGACCCAGTGGAAGTGGAGAAGGAATTCCCAAGGGCCCGCTGCCTGCTAATCTCTTTGACTTTTCAAATGTCTCCATCTTGGTCGATAATTCCTTTAACTTTGCAAATGACCCCGTCTTGGCCTGCTAATCCCTTTAAGGATACAAATGGGCCCTACAGAAGTGAGAAGGGGTGAAGTCAGAGTTCCCGGTAATGAAGTGTTTGAACTTAGATTCCTCCCGACATGTGCTGCACAATGAGATGATTTGCTCCCTAATGAGATTAGGAAATTCTATTAGCGCTCCAACCTGCTTCCCCGAGGCCCAGGCTCCAGAACTGGACCGGCCTGCTGCATGTTCCTGGAAGCCAGACACCCACCCTCCAGGTGATGGGTCCAGAAGCTGCTCTGCTCAGTTCCTCCCCTTCACACACCTGCCCCACCCAGGTGCCCTGCAAGGCACCCCAGGAGGCTTTATTCAATGATACTAATGGCAGATACTAATGAATAGGAGGCAAAAACTAGCCAAAGTGCCGCTCTGTTTTAACTCCCCTGGTCCTTGCCACAACCTGATGAACTTATTAATTTTTTAGAGACCTTTATTTTATTTATTTTTTAATGCGGTGCTGAGGATTGAACCCAGTGCCTCCCACGTGCTAGGCAAGTGCTCTACCACTGAGCCCCAGCCCCAGCCCCAACATTATGAATTTTCTTTCCACTTTACAGCTGAGGTAATGGAGGCACAAGAAGGTTAACCTGTACCAAGCCCCACAGCTAGGGCAAGTCCGAGCAGGAGCACATGGGGCCCTGGGGCAGGGTCCACCCTCCTCAGCCCCACCCCCACCATCCTGACCACGTCTTCCTGCCAGTCCAGTCATGTTCCCCTCAGAAAGCTGGCCTGCCTTTGTCCCCTGCTGGCCTCGGGGTCTGAGCCACACATTCAGTTTATTCCTGGGTGTGCTGTTCTGGCGCTGTGATGGCGGGTAGAGGTCACAAGGACACTGAGACAGCTGATTGGCAGTCATCAGCTTGTCTCTGGATCTGTTGACTGAGTGACGGAAGCTCTGAGTGGCCTTTCATGACCTGGATGGCCCCTCCCTAACCCCTCTGACAGTGACTCCAGCCTCTCTTTTAGCCTCGCTGGCCTCATGACTCAACGGCCTTGGCATGCTTCTGCCTCAGGGCCCTTGCACCTGCTATTCTTTGTGTCTGGAGCACACTTGCCCAGACGACGGTAGTGACCATGTCACTATCGTGTTCTAATATCAGAAGGTTCATAGTCTGCAGGGCCTTGCCATATTCGCTCATGGCATCCTCACAGCTTTCCTGAGATGGGTATTTGTTCACCCATTTTATAGATGAAGACACTTGAGTTACTGAGAAATAAAGTAACTTGTCCACAGCCATCCAGGTGGTCAGCTATGAGTTGGGATCCAAACCCAGGGTGTCTCCAGAGCCAGGGTGCTCACCACTCTACTACACCACCCTAGTTTCTACTCTACTCTCCTAGTTTCAGAAAGCAGTATGGCTCCTGGTCTTCTCCCAGACTTTGTTCAAAAGCCTCCAAATGAGTATGGGGTTCTCTCTCCCCTTTTTTCCTGCTCTGACCCCCACGGCACTTATTGCTTGGGCTGATATTGATTTGCCACTTGGTAAAATACTGCTTATTTCCAATCTGGTGAATCATCGTTACCCAGAATCCCTTCACTGTCCTCTCGCCATCCCAACCCTTCTCGGAGGACTCCCGGGATGGCTTTTCCTTGACCCTACAATTTAAAGGGTGATTAGATGGCACAGTCAGGGCCTCCAGGACACTGGTCTTGCACTATCGTGTCACCTCGGCGCCTAAACCTTACCAGTGAAATATCTCAGCATCATCCTCATTTATCACCATGACACACCTCATAGGCATTCACACACACACCACTCTTCTTCTTTCTTTGATTTTCGCCAGTCTGCCCTTACTGACATGGAAGCGCTAAGCAGGCAGAGATTTCTTGGTAGGACAGCACACAATAGGTGCTCAATCAACACGTGGCCAGTATTTTGGCCCCTGGCCCGGAGGGCAGTTTGGGAGATCACAGCTTCCCTGGTGCCTGCCTGGTGGGGCTGGCTCACCGTGTCTGGGGGGCGCTCCAGCATCATAGGGCGAAGCAGGCGGCTCCCTGGCGATGTGGCCTCTGGGTCACCTGCCCCCAGCAAGGAGACCACCCCGTTGCAGTCCACAGTGCTGTTTCTTTTGCCATTGAGGACATGGCCAGGAGCCGCCGCCCCAGGACTGGGCTGTCCCTGGGCACTGGGCCTGCGCAGGGGCCAGGGCACCAGGAGTGATGTGCGGTGGCTCTCGCTGTCCCCTGCCGTGCTGTTCTCGTCATCTGCAAAATCCGTCTCGGAGCCCAAGTCTCGCCGGCGAAAGGTGAAGATGCTCCCGCGGCTGGAGCGAGGCTTCACAGACGTCCTGCTGAGGCCGTGGGTGAGGCTGAGGCGATTCTGAGGGACACAGGGAGCGGTGACATGACCAAGACGCCCTTCACGTGCTCACGGCCTGATTCCCGTGGCACTGGGCCCAGCTCGACCTCTCAGAGCACTGGGGACTTTTGCCAGTCACACAGGAACTGGGTGGGCTGAGCTCGGGGGTACTCAGAAGGTGCCATGTGGGTTTGGGGACATCCTGCCTCTCCGGCTCCTTTCCTCACCTCAAGTCGACGCCTCTGGAGCGTGGACCCTGAGGTTCATCAGGGCCTGAAGGTGGGGCTGAGGCTGAGAAAGGGGAGGAGGAGGCAGGAGCCTCCTGGTGTAGCCAGGCCAGCCTGTCACTCACACGGGCACCTACCACCCTATACTATGTGAGGACCCATCCCCAGTCCCCATGATGGAGGACTAGACCCAGTTTGAAGCTATTATAACACCCAAATCTACCTTGTTCCTCTGCCCAGGGCTCCTCCATACCAAGAATGTCCCTGGGAAACAAGAACAGCTGGAAGGGTGCCCAGGGATGTGTCTGGTTACCAGAGTCCTAGCAATATAGCCATCTGTGGCCAGATCTACCCTGCAAAGGCTGTGACCACGTGCTGGGGATTACCATTACTCTGGGACCATCTTCCGAGTCAGATTTGGGGAACCTGTCATCCCCACACTCCTCCGTCCCCGAAGACATTCGTTTTCTCCTCTTGCTCCTTCTCTCGTGGTTGGTTACTGGGGCCAAAGGGGACATCTCCAAGGAGCTACGGGACACAGTGTCCACACCCCTGATGGTGAGGGCCTGGAAGAGAGTGGAGGGAGGGGCATCTCAGTCATCGAGAGACTCTGTGCAACCTCAGGCTTAGGTAGGCCAAGCAACTCTTGGCCGTTGGGTCCACCCCATCCGTAAGTGGACTCACACACTGAACCCAAACGGGGGGGGGCATCATGGAGATGGTCTCAGGCCAAGTCAGAGTGTTCTCAGGACAATCAAGATCCTCGAAGGAAGAAAGGAGTGGCTAAAGTGGGCAGCTCTTGGAAGAGCTGAGAGTGTGGGGCAAGTGGAAGGGGATGTTGATGAGGAGAGGAAGTAGCAGAACCAAAAAGGGCAGTGGATCAAGAAAGTTCAGCTGGCCAGGAGAGTGCTGGAGATGGGGCAGTGAGAAGAACCAGTGGATGCCTATGGTCTGGCTTCTAATAGCTGGCTCGGTAACAGTCTCCTGCAGCCAGTATGTGGGCGACTATGGGCAGTCAGGGAAGCACTGCCTCGCCTTATTTTTTTTTAGTTGACTCAGGTCCTCAACCTTGGCTCTTCCTTACTACCCAACCACTTGACCAGGATAAACTATGTCCATAGACACATGGATTTCTTTTTCTCATGGTAGGGAATGGAGATTGAACTCAGGGGCACTTGACCACTGAGCCACACATCCCCAACCCTACTGTTGTATTTTATTTAGAGACAGGGTCTCACTGAGTTGCTTAGGGCCTTGCTTTGGTTGAGGCTGGCTTTGAACTTGCGATCCTCCTGCCTCAGCTTCCCGAGCTGCTGGGATTACAGGTGTGCACCACCACGCCCGGCTGACACATGGATCTCTTCATCCAGCATGTCATGTGCTCACAGGGACCACCTTACCCAGAATGCACCATTTTTACCCAGCTGGCACCACCTTCACCTGGGATACATCATGGCCACAGAAAAATAACTTTACCCAGCAGACACCACACTCACAGGCAATCTCTTTACCCAGCAGACACTGCTTTTTACCCAGTGTGCACCATGCCTCCAAGAACCAGCTCTACCCAGCATGCACCATACCTCCAGGTACCCCCCGATCAGGTGAGGGCTTGACCTGGAGGCTCCTTGCCTGTGCTGCTCACCTACCTCATGCTCTTTCTTGAGCATCTCCATGGCCTCCTGGAAGCGCTTTTCCTTCTCTTCCGTCTCTGCAATGGTGGCTTGGTTTTGCTCCTCATAGGCCATGGCGACCACGGCCAGAATCAGGTTCACCAGGTAGAAGGAGCCCAGGAAGATGACAAGCATGAAGAAGATCATGTAGATCTTCCCCGCGGACCTCAGGGTCTAGAGGAGCAAGGGTCAAGAGGTCATCCTCACTGGGGCTCCTTCTGGGTTATGGCATTTCCAAGTGACCAGTCTGATGGTGCCAGGGCTTTAAAGGGCCAAACCTGGTGTGTGGGGGGAAGGTTCAGAGAGCTTGTCCCACCCAGAGAGAGGGCCATCGCTAACCTACAGAGGACAATGACCTACACACAGGACAGAATTCTACCTGCCTGGGGGGAGTGCAGTGCTCACCCAGGAGAACATCCCACCCTAGAAGGTGGAGGAGTGTCCCCTCACAGAGAAGACAGAGTCCTGTAGGAAGGCATGGTTACTTGGTCACCCGCAAAAAGAAAGTTTCTTTGTGGCTGAGCCCCTCTCCCTCAGATGCAAGTGTCCTTGGCCCCTGTCCCCTCCGCGGCTCTCACTATGGGAGCTGCTGGGGTCACTTCTGGCTAGTCACGCCTGCAGCCTGGGCCCTGAGCCCATACCTGGCCTCCCCCTGCTGGGCCGGGGAACCCATGTACCTGCTGGTAGAGGCGCTCCCAGCAGTCCTGCGTCATCAGGCGGAAGAGTGCAAGGAAGGCCCAGGCGAAGGAGTCGAAGCTGGTGTAGCCGTGGTCAGGATTCTCGCCTGCCTTTAGGCACCGGTAGCCCTCGGGACATGTCCTGCAGTCAGACATGCACTCTGTCCCATGCTGTGAGGGTTCCTCTGCCCATGAGGCTCATCTCCCTGTGCAGCCCAGTGCTCTGTGAGGCTGAGCTTCACAGCCCTAGTACCACATTGCTGGGTCCTGTCTCCATGCCTGTTCATGCTGTGCCTCTACTCGGGACACCAGCTCCCTCTTCTCTCTACCTGTCTGTATTCTCTGAGATCTATATACAGCCGCCCTCCACCCACACGACACACTGCTGCTGTCAGAGCTGCTTCTTCCCAGAGTGGAAGTGCCAGGGTCTGGTGGATGTTCTTTCTTCTGTCTGCCCACCCCACAGGGAGCTGGGCACAGCAGGGGCACCCAGAGAGGGGGCACAGTAGACTTGGCTAAGCCTGGGGTCAAGACAGGGCTGTGGGGTGAAGGAATGACCCTGGGGAGGACAGGCTGGGCCTAGCCGTGTCTGTAGAACGTGCCCACTTGCGTCATGGCACACACAGACATTTGTCCAGGGAGGCAGATGCTCAGCTCATGGAGCTGGAGGTGGGAGCCTCTCTCCCAGAGAAGGAGCCCTGGCTGCCTTCCTGGATCGGAGTGTGTGTGTGAGAGAGAGAGTGGGGGGAGAGGGAGGACACAGAGAGAGAGAGGGGGGGGGGGACAGAGATGGGGAGGGGTACACTTGGCAAGGGGGAGGACGCAGACAAGGGGTTCTGTGCCTTGCTAATGTCCTAAGCCCCTCTCCCACCAGGGAAGCGTGTGTCCCTTTTCTTAACAACCCATGCACCGTCACCCTGCCCCAGACCCCAGGGTGCTCAGAGCTCTGGAAGCTGCATGTGGATTCTAAGTGCATCTGGGACCACAGTCAGGTGCAGCCAGGATCATGGCCTGCTTGGCCTTGAGGACAGTCCAGGCTTTGGGGGAGGACATTCACCTCTGAGGGGCAGATGTGCAGGGAGGGAGTAAAGCCTGGGGTGGAAGGTGGACCCTGGGGAGCTAATGGGAAAAAGTGGAGTCCAGGTTGGGCTGATAGGAGGCCCTGCAGGGCATCCCAGGCTACCCCCGTCTTCAGGGGTCTATTGGCCCTCCCTGCCGACCTGTCCCTGACCACTCTTCACCAGTTGTCTCCTCTGTGCTGGGAGTTGGATGGGGAAGGTGTCAGGGTCCTGACAGGAAAGAAAGACAAGGGAAGACCTCCCTGTCCCTAGGGTTGGGGCATACACAGAGGGCACAGTTAGTTGAGAAAGCACCAGGAGACGGCTGGGGGAAGTGTCCCTGGGCAGGGGGTGCCACCTACCCGGCGTCTGAGCTGTTCCCGCACAGTAACACGTCAGAGGTGCCATTCTTGATCAGGTAGTTTTCTACAAGGGAAATTTCAGAAGGTGAGGGGCACAGTGGGCAGCCCCCCGGGGTTCCCACTTTGTATCCAGGGCTTTGCGGAAGTAGAAACATGGTTGGTGGTTACTCTCTATTTCTTTGTCCCTGCTCTGACCCCTACCCTCGGCCCGGCCAGGCCTCAGGCAACTCCAGTTGCTTCCCTGGCCTTCATCCTCCTCTTGCACAGACATGCCACTGTCAGTGTCCCCCCCGCTCTAGAAGGCACGGGAAGGCCTGGGCAGGGCCTCAGTGGTCTCCACAGGGAGCTGCTCCCAGCCACTTGCTGGGGGTAGGAGAGTGGGGTCAAGAGAGGCCATGAACCAGGAGGCAAGGGCCTGGGCAGAGTTCCAGCTTGGCTTGCTGAGTCACAGCCTGGCCTTGACAGGCTACTGCCCGACTCTGGACCCTCTTCCACTGCATAAAAGTGTGGAAGAGATGCCTGCCACGGTCGCCATGGAAACACTGGTCTGTTCAGACAGGCCTGGGGAGGGACCAGGTGAAACACAGGACACATGCTCTGTCCTCTCCTCACTGAGGCCCTTGTCAGTCCCCATCACTCCTCCTTACCGGCCTTTGTCTAAGGTACCAGTTGTCAAAGTGTGGTCCCCAACCAGGAGTCTCAGCAGCATCTGGGAACTGGTGAGTCATAGCACCCAGAGTGCCAGCCAGGCCGACTGATCCTGAGACTCAGGCTGGGACCCCTCAGTCTGTGTTTTCTGGAGACCTCTAGGTAACTCAGGTAGTTCATGGAAGTTTCAGAGCCACTGCGAGAGGTCACAGCTGGACCACAGGCACACTGACTCATTGATCTTCTGTCTGGTTCTATTTTCCAGAGTGGCGTGCTGGCGCACATGTAAGTGGCCCTAACTTCGGAATGGCCCCTCTGGGTGCTTGTGGCCTGGCATCTGGCCTTGCCCCAGTGTCTACCTTTGATCTAAATTGATGGCTTGAATCAAGAGAGGCCCTGAACACCAGCCTGGAGGATCGTAGTGTCAACCACAGGACAGCGAACCGAGGGGCTCTCACAGCTGCACCACAGTCACCCACTTATTCTCTCGCAGGGTTCTGGGGTACATGTGCGTGGAATCAGCACTTGGTAAGGAACACTGACAGAGACTGGAAAATTCCCCATGCCAAGGGGGTGGGTCTCTACCCTGAAGCCTCAAGGACCCCAGCCCCCCATGGCCCCCTTTCTCTAAATGGATGCTCCTAGGCAGGGAGGCTGTTCTCCTCACCATTCCCAGGTCAGCCCTGCTTCCAGACATTACCCCTCCATCTTACTCCATCCTTCTCATTCTTCAAACATCATCTCTCTGCCTAGCCTGGGAACTTCAAGGGCAGGCTCCTTTTGAAAGGCCCTGGGGGCCTGCCCTCTGGTGAAGCCCATGTGGTAGGTGGAGGGCCTTGGGTGTCTCACAAAGTGTCTGCAGGCCACAGAGCCAGTCTGCACCTGGATCATTGAGGTAGAGGTCCAGCGAGTCCCAGACCAGGCCATCGGCCTCCACGGAGCCGTTGGTGCCGTTGAGCTCCGTGAAGTTGCGCACACACTTGTGCCTCAGGTTGCCCATGAAGAGCTGGAGGCCGATGAGGGCAAAGACGCTGAGGCAGAAGACCGTGAGGACCATCACGTCAGCCAGCTTCTTCACGGACTGGATCAGGGCCCCCACGATGGTCTTCAGGCCTGGCGAAGATGAGAACAGGCACAGGGTCACCCACGGGGAGGGAGCTAGGCTTCCCTGGGGTCCTGAGAGCTGGGGGGGGGGGGGGGGGGGGGGGGGGGGGGGGGGGGGGTCAGGGAGGGCAACTATGAAGTAGGGACAGAGTGAGGGAGGTATCTTTAGACCTTTAAGACCAAAGCCCCCTTTCCTTAGCTGAGATTCTATCCTGACTGCCCCCAGGCAGGAATCCAGCCTGGCCTTGTATTCAGAGGGACCTGGGCCTCCTTACGCTCCACTAGCCAAATATATGAAATGGTGTAGAAAGTGCAGTTTCCTTGATAACTTTGGCTGGTTCCTAGGTAGGCCAGGCCTGGCCTGGCCCTGGCCCTTTTACTGGAGCCCATGGGAAGAGACCCAAGTCCAGGCAATATAGGTACCTCCATGGGGAGAGAAACAGCTCTCTGGTTAGAGGGTCCTCTTATCCTAGCCAGAGGCTCCCTTTGATGACACAGGGGTTTTTGATTATTTAGAGGCAACCAGGAGACCCAGGGTCTGGGGGTTGTCCTGGGCTAGTGTGTAGGCACTGGGGACATGAGGGGACAGCTTTGGCAGGAAGGTGGTGGGTGGTGTCCGAAGAGGCCTGCTCTGGTTTGGGCCCGTATTTGGGGAAGGTTCAAGGGTGGAGAAAGGGGTGACCTATGTGCATCTTTCCCACTGGCTTGTTCCTCTGAGACCCTCCCCAGACCTCCCATTCCCCAAAGCGGAGAGGCTGTGGTCTGTTAGTCGCAGGCCCAGCTCCCTGCGGAAGCCAGCACCACACAGCGGGGTGACAGAGAAGCACGTGTAGACGCATTCAGTCCAACCCTTAGCTGTAGTCCTAGGACCAGTGCGAGCCGAGCACAGGGCGCCAGGGCCCCTCTGCCAACAGCAGGGCCCCGCCCCCGCCCAAGCGGCCAGATCTCAGATTAAGCTCCATCCATCCACTGTCCAGCCGGTTAATGTGTTAGGAGCACCTATGGCTACTGTACCCATGGCCCAGAAACGGGGAGGCAGTGATGGGCAGTCATGGGAGAGGGCAGAAGACGGCTTTCCCATGGTGCTGCTGTCACTCCTGCCTGCCCAGGGCTCAGGCACTCAGCACTCTGTGGAAATTGTCCTGGCAGATGTTGGCAACGGTGGGGACAGTGAGTGGATCTGGCAGGGGTTGGGGCATAGAGCAGTGGTAGGATCCACCAACCCTTTGAAGTTCAGAGATGATCAGTTGTAGAGGCCCTGGGACGTGGGACATGTATCTGGGGCTGCTCCCCCAGCCTGGAGACACTGCTCATATCTTGTGGGGAACAAGTGAGGGTTTGTGGGCAGCAGCTTAAAAACCCAAACTGCCTCAACTGTTAGGCTGACATCTTTTGGAAAAATATCCAGTGTGAGGCCAGCAAAGCACCCTGCTCTGTTCTAGGAAGACAGAGGATGGGGTTAACCCATCCCTTTGCACCTGTCTCATATCAATGGTGGATATCATTTCTGGCATGAATGGTTTCAACTGAATCATAGGATTCTTTCTTAAAAGCCCAGGAAGGGGAGTCCTGGGGGTCAGGCGGGAAATCCTGGGGGTCAGGCGGGAAGTCCTGCTATCACAGAAGTTGTGACAGGCTAGATGGGAGGGCCCTTGGGACCTACCACTCTGACTTCACTCTGGTTTTACAGAAAAGGAGACTGAGGTCCAGAGAGGGCTGAAGCTGTGAGGGCGTGGCCCTGGGGAGTCCTTTGGCATGCCCCCCACAGCATTCTTCTGATGACTACTTCTGGGGTCTGCTGTCTGCTGACTTGGTGGGCTGCTGGTGGCCTTGAAGAGAGCAGTGGTCTGGGCTGGGATTAGTGGTCTTTCTCCTTTTCTCTAGGACCGAAAAATATTTTCCTTTGTAAAATCTTTCTCTTAAAATAGACTAGAATGTGCCTCTTCATAACTATTGTGGTCAGTGGTCATCTACTCTGGGGAGGGAGTCCCTTGTGAGGCTTTCCCTGGAAACCTGGAGGACTAGGAGGCCTCTGAGCACTTATGTGTGTTCCTGTCTTAATGGTGGCTTCGCAGGAGTGGCAGAAGGGTGAATGCCCTACTTGCTACTGGCTCTTGGTAGTTTGAACGTCTGATGGTCCCAGAGAGAGAGAGCGGAAAAAGGGTCCCTGTGCATATACCATGGTGGGTTCAGAGATAGGAAACACATTTGGAAGCTTAGTTTGAAAACAAAATCGTTGGGGGCCCCTCTTACAAGGTAATTAACCTGCCCAGGGAACTCTCAGGGCAGGGACTTCAGAGAAGGCCTTCTGGCCCTCTGGGGGCAGCAGTAACCAAACACTGTGGTCGGCCTGGGTACCACCAGCATTCCAAATCAGAAGTGGATGTGATCACCTGGTTAGAGAAGGGTCTGGAAGGAGCCTCTGGACACTGTCTCTCCAGGGCAAGTTCCTCAAAACAGGGGGAACTTTGAATCTGGCTCTTGTTACTCTGGGGAGTGTGAATAAAGACTTGGGGCAAGAGTCCCCTGGGTGGTACTCAACTTCAGCACTAACACCTCATCCAACTCGGCCCTCAAGACTTGGCCATCTTTGGAGTTTCCTGAATGGATGGGTGGAATGGTTTCTAGCAGGACCTTCTGGGCTTAGAAGATTTTTGGTGCACAGTTGCCAACATCTGTCGAGGAGGATTTCTTCCCGAGGCTACCATGCACGGTTTGCTAAACCTCTACCGCACCATGCAGCGAGGGCTGTTAGACGCCATGGCCCAGTGGTGCCTGTCCACAGAGCACACTCCCTTCCACCAAATGGGGCTTCAGCTGTGCATTTGTCACTAGAGGGGTACAAGACTGGGAATGGGCACTCAGCCAAAAAAGACGGTGCCTGGGCTTTCCTGTTCTGATCTGGGTGTGCATGTGAATTCCCTCAAACGAGGTCCTTTTGCAATGTATGTGCAAGCTTTCTGGCTTTGCAAGCAACTAAGTTCAGCTGGAAGAGAAATTCACCATTTGGGGAAGAGTTAGGGTTCAATGCAGGCCCTGCGGTGGGGTGCTCTGTGGCCCCTGGTGTCTGAGAGTGAGCTAGGCTCAGGTGGGCAGCCTGAAGCCCATTCTGAGACTCTGGGGGGGGTGACAGGTGCATCCACCACTCTGAGCTCTGGGAAAAGGTATTCTGGTGACAGGCACATTCACAGGGCCTTCCTGAGGGTCGCCTTGACTCCCAGGTGGTTGGAAAGTCCCAGGCAGGTCCCTCCAGCCTTGGCGTTTAACCTGATTTTTCACCTGAAATGACTGATATAGTTTTCAGGGCCCGGAGGACTCGGAAGGTGCGTAAGGCTGAGACATTGCCCAGGTCCACAAATTCAGTTGTATATCTGTAACAAGGGAAATTCACACACGAGACAGTGACAACACGCCAATAAGAGACACACGGTCGTAGGAGGAGAGGGGTGGGGGAGACAGAGAGAGAGTCACTTGTAGCTGAGATCTGAGAGGCAAACCTGGGCATCTTACCTGGGATAACTGAAATAGTTTTTAGAGCTCTCAAGACTCTGAAAGTTCGAAGAGCCGACAAATTGCCTAGCTTTATATTTTCTGATACATACCTGCAGAATCAAACCACAGTTATTGGGAATTACAAAGCAGAACCTCAGCCTGCCCTCCCCAACCAGCCCTCTCCCCTCTCCCTGTCCCTCAGGGGAGCTGTGGATGGCCTGGGCCCTCCCCTGGGCTTTCTTCTTGATCTTAACCCTCCTGGTACCAGAACTCAGCATGGGTGACTCAAGGATGTCCACACAGCGAGCCTCACAGGTGACTCTGTCTGTGGTGCTCCCAGGAACAACTGTCACCAGGAGGCAACTACTCTGACACATTCTCTAGGGACTGAGATACAAAACCATGTGATAGGTCTGAGGCTTGGGCCACATCAGAGTGAAGAGGGAAATTGTTTTCCAGGAGGTAATATTGGAAGCAAGTGGGTGTCTGGGGCTGATTTTTCCTGCAGCTTGTGCCGTCTGTTATCAGCTTGCGCATGGCTGCTCTGATCTGGGAGTCCCTTTCAGTCCTGGCTGAGACCACCAGGGTGGGGTGGCTGGGTCTCCAAGGCTGCCTACTTCCTCCTTCCAATTATGAATCTCTCTGTGCAAGGAGTGGTCAGGAGCCCTTGAAGTCACAAGGTGGAGGTGGCATTGAGTACTCATTGGAAAAAAGAGACATTGAAGAAGGGAAGGGAGGTTGCCTGAATATCTGTTCTTTAACTAACCACAGCCAACCCAAGAAGAGAAAGGTGCTGAATGAGGGTCCCCTTGGTGATGTCAGTGCCCCACCACAGGGTCATCCTTGTACTCTTGGTGTTGCCCAGGGATGACCCTGGGTCTCCACAGGAGTGATATTGGGAGATGAACAGTTCTCATGGTCTATCCTGCATGGGCCTGAGCGACGGTCCTCAGGGTTGAGTGGCCGTGGGGCTCCCATCTAGGACTTGGACAGCTGTCCATCTCGAGCTCCACAGTCATAGGAGGCATTGGTTTCTTGGGGGGAAGGGACCCGCACAAGCAGAATGTGAGGACATGCAGTGGACAGGCCACATGATCAGATTGGATGTCTGAGAGACAGATGGACAGTGTGTGATCAAAGCCATTGGGACAATGGCAAATGACCGGTGATATTTAACCAAAGGCCTCGCATCCAGGGTGTCTGACATTTAACTGAAGGTGTCCAGTGTTTAACAAAGAACATCGAACATAGGATGTCTGATGTTTAACCAAGAGTGTCTGACCCAGGTGTCTGAATGATTGATGTCAGGCCCAGGACACCAGCCCTGCAACCCTGGGCAAGTGTCAGGAATGGCCTGACAGTGGGCACTCATTCTGCCAAGCAGCCTGGGCCTCTAGGCCCCTCCACTCTGCCCAGAGCCTCTGAATTCTTCTTCAGGCCACGGGTATCTACAGGAAAGGATTTGGCAGGCTGTCAAGAGACTCAATGTCTTGGTGTCACTGGGTCAAGCCCTGACACTAAGCTGACACCAACATCCTCTTCCAGTTGTGGGGCCCATCCATCTTCATGGGGCTCTGTAAATGGGCCTTCTCCCTCCCTCCTCACTCACCTATCCCTACAGAGAAGGGGAGTCTCCAGATACATCCCCAGAGCTTTTCTGCCTCTGGTTACACCAGACCCTTCCTGTGGCAGAGTGTCCTTTCCTGGACTCACTTTAGCTTGCAAATGCCACCACAGCAGTCAGATGCAGCCCCATGGTTCACAGGGGAGCAGAAGTCACCTCCCTTGTTCTGCCCATATGTGCCCCTTAATTCAACTTTCGAGAGTTATTCCATGTTCCTCAGTGGCTCAGAACCCAAATCCTCTGTCCCACATTCTTCTTGGAGTCTCTGTCTAGATATGGTGTTGCCACGGGACTGTGAGCTTGAGCTTGGTATACCACCAATGCTGTCATGTCCTGGAAGCCATGGGTCAGCCCCCTGCTGCTGGTCTACTGGGTGTGGCTTGGAACAGCACATCCTCTCATTCAGGACACGGACTTCAAGGCTGCTCCTCTGGTAACAGGGAGTCAGTGGACCACTGTGCAGGTCAGAGAGGGAACAACTGACTTTGCTTCTCTCCTCCCACCCCTGAGAGCCCTGGTGGCTTCCCCGGTGTCTCTAGGGAAGACCCTGCCTATCCTTACCTGCCTCACTTTCAGGCTCCTCAGCACAGACAGTACCTGCTCTCCACTTAATCATCTGCCTCCTCAGCGGCTTAAGCACAGAGAAGCCAGGATCCCCAGGTGACAAGGATAGGCGGGTGACAGAACAGGGAGGAACACATCTGTGCTCCTGGCAGGCTTCCAAAGCTGGCCAAGGGGTTGGGAGTGGGAGTGGGCCTGGTGGTGTGTTTGTGTGGGAGGGCAGCTGTGGGTGAGGGCACAGTGTGTCTGGGACCATGTCTATGACATGGGGACCTGCTGGCTGCTGCACTCTACCTAGAACTTGGTGTCTGGCTGCCTCCCATATTGGGACCCCAGACCCCACTGGGCCCTCTCCTGGGGCCCCTGAATGTGTCAGGGCACAGGGCCAGTGTCAGAGGTGAGAGGGGTGGGCGGTATGGGACGTGGCAAAACCCTCCTCTGAGCCAGTCCACTCCTCTGCTACGGCCAAGCCACTGGCCAGGGGCAGACAGCTGGGGTGAGATTATGAGCCCTGCCTCAGAGAAAGCAGAGTTGGTGCCTGAGAATTCTACCCTGGCACACCAGCCCCAGCACCATGGGAGCCTTTTTGAAGGCCGAGGAAGGGCAGATGCTGCTCCACCCTTGTCTTGAGATGGCGAAACCCACACTGCTAGCAACTGCGGGTGACTGCCACCCCTCCTCTCTACCCTCCCTCCTTCCCCTCCAGGTTTGGTTTCCATAACAACCCCAGAAGGTGGGAGGCTGTGCTAACTAACAGGTAATGCCCAGCCAAGAGGGGGGCCACAGGAGGAGCTCCGGCTGGAGGGTGGCAAGCTGAGCCTGGAAGGCTTCCAAGCACTCCCCCAACCCCGCCATCACCTCTCAATTGGGTGGGTGGGGGGGGGCATCAAGCTGATAGCTGCCCAGAAACACCAGACATGGGATACCTCTCCCATCCATCCCTGGCCAGGAGGTAGGACATTTGGTTCTGGTTCCAGCGCTGCTACTGATTCATTTTGGGCAAATGGTAGGTTCTCTCTGTGCCTCAGTTTCTCCATCTGTACCATGGAGGGTGGATGGGGAGTTTCACTGAATTGAACTTCTGCCATCCAAGACTTCTTTGGTCATCCCAGGTACCCTAAGGTATCGAACCATTCCATATCTTACAGAATGCTCTTCAGAAGCAGGAAGGAGCTGGCTTTTGTCGGGCAGAATCACTGCCAACCAAAGCTGTGGGGCCAGTCCCACCAAGAGCACAAAGCTGAAACTCCAATGTGTCCGGGCAGCCTCACGGAGAGTGAGTGTGTTATGGCTGCGAGATGCTATCTAAGCCTCTGAGGTCTTGTTCTGCTGCTGTGCCTGGTTCTGGTGAAGTGCTTGGAGAGGAAGGCTGTTCCTTTGCCTGGGTAGGGAGCATCTCTGTGGCGACATTGCTTTGCTTAGGCTCCAGGATGGGGACGTAGGAGAGGCTCAGGCACATACTGGCCTCTCTTCTGCCTGAAGCCTCCTTCCTTCTGTGTCACCTGGCCTCAGGGCCCTGTGGATCACTGCCCCTGGCCCATAGGGCACCTTAGAGCCAGAGCTCCCAGTCTGGCAAGCATACTCTGTCCCCACGTCCGTACAGCCCTCTGGCTGTGACACAGGGTTCTCCCTGTCTCAAGCCTCAGACAAGCACCCCGTTCTCACTGATGATCCTGCATATTTCACAGAGAAAATAGAAGCAATCAGAAGAGAAGTTCCTTCTCTCATCATCAACTCCATCAATACATCTCCATCTCCACCTGAAATTCTGCCTTCCCTAGGCTGAAGGTCAACCTTCTACCTAGGCACTGGATTCCTGCTCCCTCTGGAAGCTCAAGGGCTTTGTTCCTGCCATCTCTACCCCTTGCCTACACCATCAAATGTCCCCTCGCTACAGGATCATTTCCATTAGCCTATCTTCTTTCAAAGTCCTCCCTTGACCCATTTTTTTTTTTCCATTTGGCTACCATACCATTTTCTATTCTGCTTTATAGAAGCCCCATAAAAACCATGTCTATATGTCTATGCTTCCCCTCCCCTGCTTTCTTGAACACTCTTTAACCAAGTGCATATCCTTCCATTCCACTGGGACCTCTCTTGTCAAGGGCTCCAATGACCTTCCTGAACCCAACAACAGTCCCTCCTTAGCCATCTGCTTCCTCAACCTCCTCCAGGTGTACTTCAATTGGATCATGCTTGTTTTTTTTTTTTTTGTTTTTGTTTTTTTTTGGGGGGGATGTCTTTCTGGATATCACTCTCTCCAGTCTTCTTTGCTTGATCTTCTTCTTTCCTGACACAAGATGTTGGCGTGTCCCACAGCACAGTCCACAGCCACGTTCATCATCTGGTGATGACCTCATCTGGTCCCCTGGCTTTATATACCATCTGTGTAGCTACCTCCACCTTGAACCTCTTTCTTGAACTCCAGATGGGAATATCCAGTTGCCCACTCAGTATTTCACTCTGGATGCTTCTCAATATTTTCCAAACCTTCCATTCCTTCTGCAGCCCACACAGTAGCTGGAAGTGGACTCTATAGAATGTAAATCAGGTCACAGGTCTGCCCGCTCGTATCCCCCAGTAGCACCATCACTCCTTGCTCTTAACATGACCTATAAGATGGTATAACATCTTATATATCATCACACCATTCTGCAGCTTCATTTCCCACTACTCTTTTCCCTGCTCACTCGGCTCTACTCGGGCCTAACATCGACACAGGGGCCAGCAGCATTGTCTTGCCTCCATTTCTCAAACTGTAAAACAGACGCCTGGAGTGAGTTCACAAACAGCCTGTCTGGAAACAGGTTCTAATGCATCTTCTAAAAACCAGGGTCTCCACCAAGCTTGAAAGTATCCCATTAGCAGAGTCCAGTCCCTGTCTCCCTCCACCATAGATGGCTGAGCTCAGGGTTGCTTCCATCTGGAGTTAAAGACTTTGTCACAAATAGGTAGATTCCGTGAATGCAAGAATCTCAGAAAGTAGGAGTTAACTGAGCCTCTGATCCCAACAAGCATGCCGCTGACCTTTCACACGTGGGGAAATCAAGGGCTTGCCAGGGTAGGAGGAGAATCTTCTCAGTTCTCTCCTTACTGAGATGCACATGCTGAGTCCTCGGCTTGCAGAAACAGTTAATGGCTGAGCCCCTGATCAGGACTTCTGCATGGCAGGGTCATCCACCTGATCAGTTGTCCCATGTGATCCCTGAGACATCCTGGGCAGAGCACCTCCTCAACACTGACCCCTATGCAAAGATGTCCTGGGAAAGGAAGTGAGGCCTCATCCAGGGCTGCGGCAGGTGGGGGTCACGTTCACTTTTTGGTGGGCTCCCTGTGCATCTTTGGCATTCGTTTTCTCATTGGTAAAATGAGGCTCAGTGGCCTCTTCCAGCCCAGGTCTCTGGCTAGTGTGAGGATCCACTGGATTGGATCAGTGACCAGGTGCTTTACAATGTGCCAAACGCAGGGCCTCTGAATGGAGACAGCAGTTGCCCTGATCCACATGGCATGAGCTTCTGGGGGTATCCAGTCACTTCTCTTCAGAAGTGATACCCTTACTGTCATTTCATTCTTAATCACCTTGGAATCCAAGTCACTGATCATAGTGGGCCTGGGATTTGGGCCTATCATATTGGTTTCTCTTAGTGGAAAGGGAAGAGGATGCTAAAACAGAAACTTAATTGATGTCCCTTGAGCATGGAATTGTCATGGGCCCCAGACAAGGAGCCTGACCACCATGGCCACCTGAGCTACCATGGATCTGCGTCTTCCCACCAGGATGGTCTGAGGGCCTTCGCCCATCCTCCTGCTGCCATAGCACCAAGGCTGGTTGCTCTACAGCCTGAGCTCAGAGCTACAGGAAGCCTGCAGTGGGGAAGCCTGGAAGGCCTGGGGCCTGGGCAGGGGGTTGTGCAGACCCCGCCGTGTGGCCTGGCACGGCACAGCATGGCGCAGCAAGCAGGATACTTACGCCATGACAATCACACTGAAGTCCAGCCAGTTCCATGGGTCCCGAAGGAAGGTGAACGCGTGCAAACAGAAGCCTCGAGCCAGAATCTTGACCAGAGACTCAAAGGTGTAGATGGCAGTAAAGGTGTACCTGGGAAGGAGAGGTCCATCGGGGTTCTCAGGGAGGCTGAAGCCCACAGACCAGTCCCACCAGGTTTCCCACGTGGTACAAACTGCATCAACGCCGCACGCCAGGAGCTAGCATATCAGGCTCTCTATAATAACCCATGGCAGATCTGCAATTGGGGATTGCAGTTCTGTTCCAAATACCTGGCTAATTAACCCATCTTCCCATTAATTTTATTGAGTGCCTTCTCTGTGACCAATGAACTCTCCTTTTTCTCTCTTGGTTGTCTTGGTGTCAGATGATCCCTACCTATCTCCTCACCCTAACCCCGGGGGTCCACGTGCCTAGGTCCCAAGTCTGCACCATGGGACACCCTGGACAGTCAGAGTCATTGCCTCTCACCCAGGTATATGGATCTTCAGTAACTAGCAAAGGGAACCTGGTCCATCCTCAATTGCCTATACAGTAGGTGGGTCCAGCTGTCCACCCTGGACTTGAGTGTTGATGTTCCAGTACATGAGGCTGAGTGGGGGCTACTCAATCTGCTTGGGGAAGCCTGCAGAATCTACAATGTCTGGATGCTGGTACTGTCTCACAAGGCTAGAATGGGAGAAGACCACATCCCAGGTCTCAGAGCCGCTGGACACAGCCCCAGCACCTCCAGCATGACGTGGTCCTTTGTAAACATGGAGAGAAACCTGGTAAGTCACAAGTAATGAAGGGCATTGGACATTCTGTCAGTCTCCGATAAACAGGAGCCAAGTACAATAATTCTCAAAGTGTTTAGTCAGATGCTTAGAACCTTCTTAGAAACATTTTCCCCCTCTCACTTGGGAAAGAAAGGCCAGAAGCACTTTTCTCAAATTGTGCAAATGGTTCTAGAAGAAAAAAAAAACCTGAAAAAGGCAGCAGAATATGGTACCAAAGTGAGGACAGCCCTGGCTTTTTCCTGCTGCCATGCTGCCTCACTGCATGATGTCAGGCCAGTTACTGCTCCAACGCTCAGTCTGCTCATCTGTCAAATGGGGACAGGGGCTGCACTTACACTGTTGGATTGCCAGAGGGTTGAAGGAGATGATGTTTGTTGTTCTTTTCACAGTGTCCGGCCTGCGCTAAGTACTCAATGAATTACTCTTATGATTTCAGAGGCTTCTCCAATGTCCTCAATTCTCTTTAGGGGTTGACAAGAGAAACTCCCCACTTTGCCAATCAGGGGATCTTCTTCCCCTGAGGGCACGACTTACAGCCAGTGCTTGGCAGGACTGGCGAAGGCAAAAGAGGATGGAAGGTGATCCAAGCCTGCAGTTGGGGGTGATCTCTGGCTCCGGACATAGTCCTCTTCTGGAGTGACTTTAGGGACCATGGCATGCAGTGGAAAAGGAAGGGATGAAGCCAAATGAAGGACAGGTGCGGAAGATACTCACTCGACATACTTGGTCCAAGGCGGAGGGTCGTGCTGGGCCATGAACACGCAGTTGGTCAGGATGGTGCACATGATGAGCATGCTGAAGAGCGTGGCGCAGGGGTCAAGGAAATCTGTGGACAGAGGGTCAGCCGCGCCACCACCACCACCACCACCGAGGTTTGTGCCCCTGGGGCTGTCACTGCCAGCCCAGGGCTGCCAGATGGGTAAGAGAGACTCTGTGACGGGTCCATGCCAATGCCTCTCTATCGAGGTCACTCTCTGACCTCTCCCTGGCACTTGCTGTTGGACTCCCATCCTGCTCCACAGCCCCTAGCAGGCTCCAGACACTTGACACTACTCTGTAGGGGTCAGCATAGAAGAAGGGGAGGAGAAAGGGCAGATCTCAGACCTCAGAGGTTTTGGCTGGTTGTGTGAGCAGGAGATGGGCATTTACAAAGGGTTCTTTGGGTTGGAAAAGCCCGGGTGTGCAGGGTCCTAAGTTCTCTCCCTCACTTCTGGGGGAGCAGGCCAGGTGGGCTTTTGCTTAGGAATGCTCTGCTGCCAAACAACTCACCTCAGGGGGACCCACCGATCCTGGGGAGCAGGGGGCTGCTTCCCTGGCTGCTTCCTGCTGCTGCACCCACTCTTCACTCTTGTCCTCCTCTCTGTCTAGAAAAGTCCTTCTCAGCAGGAAACCCGCCCGCCCCCAGCATCCTGCCCTGACTTTGGGGCTTCAGCACCCCCAGAACATCAGTCACCTCCCATTTAGCCGTCTCCTCTTTTAGGTGTGGCTGCTCAAGGAACGACAAAGCCCTGTTTCTCCACCACAAGGGGAATTCCTCAAATGCCAGGACTGTGTCCTGGACATCCCTGTGGGCTCTTGGCCTTACAGTGAAGGCCCCAGACCTGGTGGAACCCCTGACTCTGGCTGCTGTTTCAGGCTGGACAGGACTCTCCATGACCTCCTCCACCCCTTCCTCATTTTTTGTAAGACCTGCAGAGAAGCAAGGCGCAGAGCCTGGGCCTCATGGGGCTAGGGAACTTCCAGGGGGTCTGGCCATGGGCAGGGGTACGGTGCTGCCTTCACAATTCTCCTCCCCAGCCCAAGAGGAGAGGCTGTGCTTTCCACCATGCCCCGGCCTCAGCCCTGAGCACACAACTGCCAAAGGCGATTCCCACAGGCAGCCCAGGAGCTGCGGTAATTGAGCTCCAGGGGCTGCTCTTTCCTCCCTTGCACAGTGCCACTCATCTGGAGGGGAGGCCCCTGCAGCCAGTGCTGATTGCCCTGGCTGGAGAGAGGAGGGTGGCCCCTCATGGAATCTAACCAGGCAGATGGGAGTCCAGGCAATCAGGAAGTCAGCCTCCGAGACCCAGCCTCCAGTTGATAACGAATTCTCCTACTTCTCATGGGAGCTGAGGGGGTGATCTGGCTTTGAGAACCTCTCTCAGCCAATCGGGGATGGCCCACAGGAATGCTCAGCTCTAGTGCCCTCAAGGAAGCCCTGGGTTTCACCCTGGCCAAAGGGCACCTCTCCAGGCACTGGGGTTCCTCCCTCCATGGGCATCTTCCCAGCCCTCTGCCTGCAAGGATCTCCAGGGCCACATCTAGCTCCTTTTCCAGATTTCAGAGGTGGATCAGGTACTCATCTTGAGACCCTCCTCCCTTACACATGTTCCTACACCCAGGTCTCATTCCAGAACTCTCCTCCCTGGAAAGACGGTTAACAAAGTCCCTAACCAGCTTTATTCATCCCCACAGATCCACTGACAAACTGCCCACTGAGGATCCCAGATGATTCCTGAAACAGGTAGGTCACGGTGCCAAGAGCAGAGACTTCCTGAGCCCTTCCTGGGAGCCAGGCTCTGCTCTCTGAGCCCATTAACTAATCTGATTCTTTCAACAACCCGATGAAGTGGGGACTCTGTCTCCATTTGAAGAGATGAGAAAACTGAGTGAAGAGGTGAAGTTCCAGTGTACTGTCCTAGGCAGAATAATAGTCTGCCCAAAGCTGGCCACTTCTGAATTCCTGGAAACTGTGAATACATATTTGTATCACAAAAGCAATTTTGCAAATATGATTAAATTAAGTATCTTGGGGGTGGAGAGAGTATCCTAGATGCTCCGGGTGGGTCTAATGCGATGACAAGAGCACTTATAAAAGAGGGGAGCAGGGGTCAGAGTCTTGTGAAAGACACAGCTAATCATTGCGGGCTTGAAGAGTCCTGATCCACAGAAGGTGAACAGCCTCTAGAGACGGGGAGAAGCCTAGAAACAGGTTCTCTCCTAGAGCCACCAAAAAGGAACTCAGCTCTACCGATCTTTGATTTTAGCTCAGTGAGAACCTACAGACTGTGTGCTGTTTTAAGTGACTGGGTTTGTGACTATCTGTTCCAGCAGCAACAGGAGACTACTGTATACGGTACAAAGCCGATAGGGGGCAGGGCCAGTCCTTAGCCTCATCCCTCCTCCCATTCAGGCCTCACCTCTGAGGCTCCCTCTTTGCACAAGGACACCAAGGGCCTGGTCCACTCTCTGCCTCCAGAAGGATAGGCCTGCATGAATCACATGGCTTCAGACCCTTACCTGCCAAGCAGGTAGGCTATTCCTCATCTGGTTTATGTTACCCACAGGAAATACAAACACCAAATGAGGTAAAGGGCTCCATGAAGAGTGAGGATACTGACAGCCAGAAGCGGGTGAAATGGAGTGCCATTTTTAAGAGCCAACCTCACCTGAGCATGAGGGCCTGGCCCTGTGTGGGAGACTGCAGAGCCATTCTCCTGAAAAGCCCCCAAATGGGATATTATGAGAAACCAGACACAACTCTTCTGGAGGAAGCTTGGTGAGGCACCAAGACTGGCCACAGTTCCTCCATCAATCAGTCACCCAGCTGGCCCTGGGGAAGCAGTGGGGACTGAGGACAACCAGACCTTCCCTGGGCAGCCAGCTCCTCCCAGCTCTAGGTGACTGCTCACAGCTCTCCTTAGCAAGGAGTAAAGGCTCTTCTGCAAAGAGAAGGGTGGACAGGACCAGAGGACTTGGCTGGACACACAGAGGGGAGGGAGAACTCTAACATGGAGGCTAAGGGGAGAGCTGGGCTTGTGGGCTGGTCCCATGATGGCAACCACAGGAGATGTCTATCTGGGTTTTTGTGTGTACAGTGCTGGGATTGAACCCCAGGCCACATGCCTCCTAGTACCAAAATCCTAGTACCTGGGTTTTGTCTTTTCTAAACCTACCCATGGCTTTGGAGTGAGTGAGGCAGCTTCTCGTCCCTCTGCCACTTGACAGCTTAGAATCTTGCCTGGCTTCCCGATCTTGAGGACAGCACGTACACTATTTTCAATCATTCCTCTGTGTGTGTGTGTGTGTGTGTGTGTGCATATGCGGGTGTGAGCAAGGTCTCTTCCTACCTAGACTGAGCCCCTAGTCCATGTGAGTCTGCCCAAAGCATCCCAGGTCCCCCATGGAGCCCAGCATGCGGCCAATACCAGACAGATGAGTCAATTGAATGCCCAGCCAAAGCATACCTGTTTGCACTGCCTGCTAATTTCAGGCCGATGATCAAGCTGGTCCTTTGTGTGAGCAGAGGCAAAGGCCAGCTCTCCAGGCCTGAGCTCAGCTGAACATCTTCAATCCTGTCGTGTCATTGTCCCAAACACCCACTCCCATCCTCATGATTAAAATACCAGCAAGGACTGCCAGCGCTGGTTGTGGGGAATGCCTGAAACTTGGGCTGCTTAAGTCTTCAAATCCCAGGGAGTCTAAAGACTTCTAAAGAGAAGGGAATTAACCACGGGGGTATTTTCATGAGGGTGTGCTACTGAACAAACATGTACACACACACACACACACACACACACACACACACACACACACACAGTTTGATTGCCCATTTGAATCTGGTAGAGAAACGTGGGAGGGTTTTGTGAGCAGATCCTGGGCACCCAGGAAAGCAAAAATGCTTCTCATTGTGAACACGAGGCCTCTCTGAATGTGACTGCCGTGGAATCTGGAGACCAGTGGGTCTCCTTTATTTAATCCCGGCAGGAATACATTCGGCAGGATTATTACAAAAATATGTAAGGAAAAAAAAATAATTCTACATGCCTTATTTACTTTTTCAGCAACTTCCCAGGGACGCATTGCAAGCACAGAGCAAAGAGCAAAGTGAAATGGAACAACGGTGCAGCGCTAGCGTGCCACTCGGGGGAGGGGGGGCCTCTTGGTTGTTCTAGGGGAGCAGGTTTCCTCACCAGGCTGTGTTCCTGCCCTCTTCTAAATGTGCCTTTGCCCTGCCTGCCCTTTCCAAAGAGCCTGGCACGGAATTTAGCACATGCAGGGGACTCAATAGATGTTGGGATGAATATAAAAATTTAAGCAGAGTGAAATTCCACAATTCAAAACATCAAATCTGACTGTTCATTAGAAATGCGCCGGGGGCTGCCAGTGGGCACAGGGGTTGTTTTGGGGGTGATGATAGGTAGAAATGATGGCTGCATAGACTTCTGAATATATTAAAAACCACTAAATTGTGTGCTTTTAGATACATTGTATGATATAGGAAGTATACCTCAATTGTTAAAAAAAGGAAATGTGGGAAGAACTCCTAGATTCCTAGGCCTAGCCCTGGTGGTTCTGGTCTGGAAAGGCGTAAGAATCTCCCTTTTAAACAAACCTTCTGGGTGACACTGAGGTGGCCCTCACAGGCCGGCATTTGGAAGCAACCACAGTGAGGATCTCGCTAAAACAGGTTTTGGGGTGGGGCCCGATTCGGCAGTTCCTACCAAATCCTAGTGATGCTGTTGCTAATGATTAGGACAGCACCATACACTCCAGGTGTGTGGCTCAAGATGCCAGGGCTCAAGGCCTCAGAGGGGCAAACCCCACGAATTTGGGCCCCTTCTTTCCCCAATGCCCACAAATCCCACTAGGTGGCGCTGGCGAGGACCAACAACGTGTTATCCCTAGGCAGTGGAGGGCCAAGGCAGCCACTGGGAGCCCCGTACCGGGCCTCCAGGATGCTGATCACTTCCCTGGGGCAGCTGCCTTGGGGGAGAGAGGCTGGCTCAGAGCCCTCAGGATGGGTCCTACCAGATGCCATCAGCACCTCACAGCCTCAAAGTCACTGCTCAGTGGACCCTCTGGCCAAGCTGGGGACTCCACCATGCCCCCTGCCTCCCTTGCCTGCCCATCGGTCTCCCTGACCTTTCATTGTCCCTGTGGCCCAGCCCAGCTCCTGGCAGGGGCTCTGGGATTGCCGCTGCATCCCTGGGGGGTTCTGTGGCTGCCAAACAGTGCTGGGTTGGTTAGATACCTGGAGGAGAAGCCCCAGGTGAGAGACGCGGATGCTTTCAGGGAGGCCACGCCCCTGCAGTGAGGCCGGAGACAGGCTCAGAGCACAAAAGTAGCTGGCCTTTCTGGCTGCTTGATTTTTTACCCCGCTGTGACCACCGTCTGGCAGGAATGACAGCTATTTGTGTAGCTGCCCTATCACTCTTAGGGGACTGTAAAATTCCCCAGGGGAATGCCCATTCAAAGAGGAGAGCCAAGGGGGACCTGGAGGAGCTCTGTAGGGCCAGCCCACCAGACCCACCAGCAGGCACCCCGCTGAGTCAAGCAGCATGCCCTCGCCCTGGTCCACGCCTCTCCCTCTCTGTGAAGCTCTGCCTGGGTGTGAGAACAGGCACGAATAGAGCCTGGTACCCCATCCTCTGTGCTGCCTGGAGGAGGCCCCTCTCAGGCCCAAAGCCAGTGCGGGGCCCTTATTCCATGGCACCACTCCGCTACTCTCTGCAGGCTGGAGCTTTTTTAGGCTGTGGTTTATGTAATTTAACGTTAACCAGAGTTCTTTCAGATGCTCTGAAACTGCAAACATTTTGTCAACACCTCGTCCAAAAGCAAGTATTGCCTCCCTCGAAAGATGCCCACGTGAGATAAACTGGAGGCCTCTTTACTGGGAAATGGCTTTTCCTTGTCTGAGCCTGGGGAACCTGCTTGAAGGTCCCTCCCTGCATGTGGGTGGGATGGGGTAGAGGGCCCAGGGGTCATGGTGGGTGGGAATGTGTGGAGCCAGGAAATGCTAACGGGTCTCATTTATTCTGGGGTCCTCAGGAGCTTGACTTCTGGGATACTCTTCTCCTGAAGAAATCAGAAGGGTTTCTCAAACTTCCATATGCCCGGGAAATGCCCTGGGGATCTTGTCAGATGCTGGCTCGGCAGGTCTAGGGTAGGGTCCAGTTTCTACATTTCCAACCAGCCATTCCTTGGTGGCTGTGCTGTCTGTCTTAGGAGCAGTGGGGAGTTGGCACCACCTCTGGCTCTAAACTAGGACGGGATGGGTGGGGGCAGCACCCTATGCACAGCCCCAGTGAAGTCCCCCTGGGTGCACACAGCAGGGATGAACTGCAAAGGATATGAATGAACCAGAATCTTCACTGCTGCTCTGCGGACAGGGTGGAAGGGGCTGAGGACATACAAGGCGTTGGTGGCACTGAACCGGAAGATGGTCTTGCCCTTATTCAGCACGATGAAGGTCTGTGGACAGAGAGCCATGAGAGGTCAGGAGCAGCAACCCTTAGGCCCTGTGGACAGGGGCTTTTGGGGGAAGCTGTCAGAGCCCTAGGACTATGGCTAGCTGGGGAAAGAGGAGAGGGAGAGGACAGCCAGCATACCCAGTAGGCTGGCTGTCCCCATTGTCTCACTCATGGGTGAGGTGGGGAGCAGCCTAGTTAAGGGTAAGGTCAGGTTGGTGGAGGCTTAGTTTAAAAATTATAGCCCCAAGAAGAAGGGGTTTTCCATGGTCTTTGCCCAACTGTTGTCACAGCAGAGGTCCAGACCTGGGATGGCTCCTCCTTCCCCTTCTTCCTCCACTGACCCTCCTGGACCTGCAAGGCTCCCTGGGAATAAGGGTATGGCTGGGGGGATGGGTAAGCTGGGAGGACATATGGCTCAGGAGGAGGAAAGGGGAAAACACTGAACCATCCTGGGACAGCTTTCCCTGAGACCCTGTCTCTAGGAGTCGAGGGCAAATGACAGGCTACCATCTCCCTCTGGAGGAATCATGAGCCGCTCAAGGGAATCCCATCGCTTGGTTTCTAGAAGATGTCTGCCTACAGAGTAGCGCAGCCAGCAGTGTGGGAGCAATGAGGGCTGGAGGTGGAGCTGTGAGCACAGAAGGACAGAGGTCTTCCCAACCTGCCCAGGTGTGTCATGGGCACAGGTCTGGGATCTCATTTGTCCAAGGGCTAAGCTGGTGACATAAGGTTCTAGCTTATCTGGGAAGGGGAGACAAGTTGACCAGATAGATTAGAACCAAAAGTTCTGCTGCAGTGCCTCCATCAGCCCATGGGGCTATAGGCAGCATGGCCAGGGGATCAGCGAGGGGAGACAGGAAGTTCAAGGCCAGGACCACAGCTGGAGCCACTATTCAAACATTCTCAGACATAGGGACAGAAAAGATGGTGTTCCCAACTCCTTCCAGGCTAACTGACACCAGTCTCTGAAAGCCCACCCTTAACCCAAATTCATTCAGGTCCACAGTGACTCCTGCCTGCCCCAGCTAACTCCAACCTAATCACCATCCATCTGCCCACCGTAACCTTGACTCATTGCCCGCTGTGGCCCAACCCCAACCCCGGTTCTTACTTCCAGCTCTCACCAACCATGACATAAGATTACCCACCTGCCGGCCTAATAACCCTGACCCCAGCTATGCCCATCCCCCAACCTTCACCCCACTTCAGTCACTTGAACCAAGGGGAAGTTTATCTGGTCCTGCCTGGGAGCAGGACCAGGGTCAAGGTTTCCTTTCCTCCTGTTTATATAGACTCGGAGAGGGGATACCCTTCACACAGGCATCCACTCACTTATACATCCATGCGCACACACCCTCAGGCTTTTAGACAGTCTCAAACCACCATGGCATACACTCAGTACTTGGTAACACAGGCGTGTGTGCTCACACCTGCCTTGTGCTCACATGCGGGCACACTTGCCCTTCCTGCCCTTCAAGTGCCTCCTTAGCCTGAGGCTGGCTAGAGAAAATGTGAGCACCCACCATTGTCCTTGGTACTTGGCTTTCTGGGGAAAGATCCTCCCCAGGTCCAAACCCACCTCCCTCCAGCAGTGAGGCCTGGCAGTGCGGGCAGCAGGTGGGAGTCTAAGCCTCTAAGGAGTCCTGTGTGTCTGTGGTCTGTGGCTGGGTGCAAGGTGGGGCACATGGTCCTCACAGAGAAGGCTAGGGCAGCGCAGGGCAGGAGATCCAGACTGGGGAACTTAGCTCCTGGGAGGAAGTTGGAGTCACCTGCCCTAATGGACAAAAGTCGCTTCCTCTCCCTACACTCAGGAGGGACAAGGGCAGAACAACCACCCCACCATACGACACCCCCAGCAATCACTATCCTTTCTCCCTCCACCCCCGAGATTTTCCAGTGGTCTTCATGGCCCCTCTGCAGGTCCACAAGGGTCAGAGGCTGCTGCGACGGCCCTGCCTGGGGGACTCTCCCATGCCTGGTGAGTTCGTGCTGCCAGAGGGGTTGGGGCGTGGGGGCTGTGCACTGTCCCTAGTTAGGAGAGGTGGCCACATGTTGTGCCCACACTGGATCCAGGGCAGGACTCAGGGCTTGGTTCCAATTCACGTGCACACCTCCTGATGGGGAGGACTCCACGAAGTCCCCAGGAGGGGAGGTGAACACCCAGCCACAGGTCATTCTCAAAGGAAGCTTCCGCCAGAAGGCAAGATGTCAACAGAAGCTGCTCTATCTTTGCTTCATAGCACCAGACCAGCAGCTTGGACTGCATAATTCCTGTCTTTTATTTTAGAACTCCAAAACTGAGGTGATTGGAATATAGATTGACAGTGAGTCATTACCGCAAAGCCCAGGGGATCTTGCCCCCCACCCCCACAGTCCTTATGGAGGGAAGGCCCTCTCTCTTCTGCTGCACTGCAGGGAAGTGCCTGGAAGGGAAGGGGGTGGGGAAGGTGGGAGTCACCTTTTGGGTGCTATAGAAGGGGTCCAGGTCCTCCAGGGGCTCCCCAATGAGCTCTCGGGGTGGGTTGCCATAGAGATCTGGCAACTTTTTGGAGGCCTGCAGGTCCAGCTGGGGCCGAGGAGCCTCTTCCTCGGGCAACCCCTCCCGGCTCTCCTGCGAGGTGGCCGAGCTGCGGGCTTGCTTCTCCGCCATGCGTTTCTCGATGGCCGCCAGGGACTCCCGGGTGAACCTGCGGAAGCTGCTGGTGCCCCGAGGTAACAGGAAGTTTGCCATCTTCTCATCCTGCTTCTGGGGCACAGGCTGTCCTCAGGCTGCCTGGGGGAAGCTGAAAGACACAGATAATGGGCCTGACGGGATGCCAGGGCCAGAAGGCAGGATGCCAGGGCCGTCTGACCTGTGAGGGGTGGCTGTGCAGGTGGAGCAAAGGACCTGACTTGCAAAGAAGCTGGAGACCCCAGGCTACCAATGCAGCACACCGCACACCTGGCTGACACTAGCCTGGGAAAATCCAGAGCCTGTGGGGTACTGGCAGGGAGATCAGTTTCCCTATCCCACCCTAACAAGCTTAGGTGCAAGTGAGCATCGTCGCACTGTCATCCTGCCCCATGCAACCCAGAAGGAAAGGCTCGCACCCTTTGGTCCCTTAGCTGTCTGCATTGGAGACACTCCCACCACTGGTGCCCACACCCCTGGGCTTAGGAAGGTTACTCCGTGAGTCAGGGATGGGGTCTGTCATTTTTCTACTCCAGATCCTTGGCAGAGCAGGCCCGGGAACAAATGGGGGAATGACTCAAAGAACACATTTAAGGCATTAGAAGGTACCAAGTCCTGCTTCTCCTCTCCAGGGCTATGGTGTCTGGTCCCCCACAGCATCACATGTCTCTGTGGGGCACTGTGGGCAGATCTCACTTGGGGCATCAACTGATGGGACTTTTGCATTTGCCATAGGAAACCCAGGAATATCCTGTCAGTTTTTAGAAACAGCTGGGAGCTCTCATCCAGATGTTGGCAGCCTGGTGTACACAGCTGTGATAGAGCTCCCGCTGAAGCTCTCAAAGGAATCCCCAAGGTGCTACATCCTCCCAAACGAACCTGCTGCCAAACATGGGAAATGCTGAGGGCTCCTCTGGCTGCTTCTTACTCCCCTCCTCCCAAGCAGACGAAGAAATGCCAATCCCAAGGGACGGCAGCACCAGGAAACGGTGACCACTATCCACGAGGACATCCAGCCAGCACCCGCGTGTGACGTCAAACCGGGAGAATGTGGCCCCTGGTGGCCTCAAACGATCCAGAACCTGGTGTGAACGCACTCTGCCAATGACAGCAAGGCAGAAGAATGCATTCCCTACTGCCCCACCAAAACAGGATGTGGTCAGGAGGGCTCCTGACCGTGACACCAAAGCCAGGAGGCTGTGCTGCTAATTACCACATCAGACCGGGAACGCTGGGCACCAGCTCGAGAGGGCAGGATGGACACCTGTTGGAGATCTCTGCCAGGACAGAATCCCTTCCTGTCAACCAAAGGCTTTGCCCTGATCTTACTCCTGCAAAGCATGTCACCAGTGACCCCATGAGCTGCTGGGGCATCCAACCCGCACAGAGCGGAAAAAAGGCCTGGACCTGGGGCTGCCCTGAGCACTATGGGTTGCAGGCACTTGGCCAAGTGGCAGGTAAACAGGGAGCAAACACAAGGCAGCCTGGCCTCAGAAGGGTGCCTCTGTCCCCAGGGAAGTGCAGCCTGGAATGTGTTGGAGGGAGGCGGGAGGGCGGAAGTCATGGACCATCCCGTCGTCGGCATCTTTTTTTGTGTTTCATTCACATGAAGTTAAAGGAGCATCTCCATGAAAAATAGCAGGTGAGGGAGTGGGTTTCCACTTCATAAAAGCATTTCTACCTTCCTTCTCTGAGTGAATACAGAGACGTCTATAACACTTGTCACCAAATGGGAAATGTGGCTCTTTTTTCTCCTCAGCTGCCAAGAAGTTTGGGTAATTTTAAACTTTCTTTGAACTTTTCTTCATTGCTTGTTTTTGTTAATGATGAGCTTGCAAAAACAAGAAGGGTCATTGCTTTTTTTTTTTTTAATTTAAAAAACAAAAAACAAGCTGGATGGCAGCAGCCCCTTGTAGGGCAACCCTCTCCCCTGTGAGCAATCACTAGTTCTGTAAATTGGGAAGCCACCCCTTAAGCTTGGAATTATTTGTTAAAAATAGTGCTGTCTGTCTGACTGTATCCATCTGTGTACATATGCCTGCAAGGGTTCTGGAGACACACACACACACACACCTGTGGATGTGCACAGGCTCACTAGTACACACTGGCAAAAGTGTGTGTGTGTGTGTGTGTGTGTGTGTGTGTGTGTGTGTGTGTATGGAGAGAGAATGGGAGAGGGGAAGGGAGCTTGCACCTGCATATACGTCTGTTCTACCAAAGATGTGTTTGTAATTTGTATTGAAATAAACGATCCATGCAGATAGGTGCCCATTAAGTGTACAGGTGGATGAATTTCCACAAACTGAACACACCTGATAACCAGAACCCTGACAAAGAAAGAGATGGTTCCCACTCCCTCCCTCCTGGGTCCCCTTCCAGTCACTAACTACCCTCCTTCAACAAGGGTAACCAACCACTCTCCTGACTGCTAAGGGTATGGATGAATTTTGCCCGACTCCGTAGTTCAGGGGTCGGTAACAGATTCCTTGGAGGGATGGGGAAAGGATTCTGGAGAGAAATCACGTCCCCGTCTCATTCACCTTCAACTCAAATTTCTTTTTCATTTATGAACACAGGCGACAGAACAGAGGGTTAGCAGTAGCCGTGACCAAAAGAAACTGCAGCTTCCTCTGAGCCATCACAGTGGCTGCTCGTAGATCAAAGATTATTCACCGCTACTTTAAAATCATAGTACTTACACTAGCAACTCGATCTCATTTAAGACATTAATAAAGCAGCACACACATGAACAACGATTGGTTTTCAAGTGCTCTGATAGTTGCATTCAATACAATTGGTTTCCTGTGTATTTTATGCTGTGTATTTTATTGACTTGAAAAATGTGATTCTGAGCTGAGCTTCACCCACCTGCAGTAGTCCCTGCTGAATTGCTGACCCTTGGGTCCCCTCCTCTACACCACACTTTCCTTATCTGAGTATTGAGGAAGGTGAATGAGGAGACCCTCAAGTCATTCCTGGGATTCTCTGATGTTGTCACCATCTCCCCCACCCCCACCCCTCTTCTGCCTTTCTTTTGGCCACCCTGGAGAAAGCACTGAAGACTCTCCCAGGAGAAAGTCTAGCCTGGGGGCCCCAGCCCGCGCCCCCTTGGGTCTGACAAATTCCATTCTGAGGCTTGCATTACCCCAGTGGGGGAGGTAGAGGCAGGCCCCAGGTCTCGGAGGATGCGCAGAGGTTATGGGGAGGTGCGTAGGTTCACATGCCCAAGCACTACCTCACCCTCTTTAGTTCCCCTTCACTGGAAGCCCTGATGATGAGGTCCTGGGTCCTAAGAAGGGTCTGTCTCAGCTGGCCTCCAGCACAACATCCACACTCTCAGGGCCCTGGCCTGGGAGGGGTGTGGGCCTCCCGGGAAAGCAGCTGAAACCAGATTCCAGATGAAGTTCCCAGCTCCCCAGCAGCCAGGCAGCTTCAGGTTCCAAAGTAAACCTGCCAAGAGCCTTCTTTGTCCCTGGCTGCTCCTGGTGGGTGGCAGGATCCATTTCCGCCTTGTTCTCCTGTTCCCTGCACCTGGCTCGGGCCCTGTTCTTCCTTCAGCAGCCCCGGGGGCCCACGCCCTGCTTTGGCCACGCCTGGCTGAGCCCCGCTGCTGCAGGGTTACCAGTGATGTCAGGGTGAGAAGGGCCCAGGTGGCCAGAGGATGCTCAGCCACACCCCTTAGGCCTGGGAGGTCAGACCTGCTGATTAGGAAGGGTCCACAGTGGGGAGGCTGCAGTGGTCATTGGAATCCAAGACCACAGCCACCCTCCCCCAAGACGCCAGCATGGCCTGCTGCTCCCCTGGCCCACGCTAGCTTCTCCCTCTGCACCAGCTCCACAGTTGCTCTCTAGGATGGGACAGCGCTTCCGCCTGACCACTCTGCTTAGGCAAGTTTCCCCAGTCCTTTCAGCCTCACTACCCCCATGTTCATCTACCTCTGGTTACTGGGCACATCTTTCTCTAGGTCCCACTGGTTCTGGAAAGTTAGTGAATCCGGTTCCTCTTGACACCCTTTCTTCTGACTCTGACCCCAAGCCCTCCAGTCCCACCTATTATTATCACTGCCATCCCCAAAGCCACTGCCCTGGGCCAGGCCTTCTCACCCCTGCCTGGACCACAACCATGCCCCTGGTAACCCCTACCTTTCTTTTTCCTTCCAACTCACTTTGTGACTTCAACATTCCCACTCTCTGTGCCTTGTGTGATCGCAGAGTTACCTCCCACTCTCTTTGTTACCGGACTTCCTCCAAGACACCTCTGACTGTCCACTCACTCATGTCCCCCTGCCTCCTCCACACCTCCACACCCAGGCTTTGGCCCTTCCTGACAGTCCCTGGAGATGACTCTGGTCTTCACTGTCTAGTCATCACCTCACCTCTTCTTAGGACAGGGCGGGGAACTCCTCTAACCTTTGGATTGCATTATGAGGATTCCCACCAAGACAGAAATGGCTGTTGGGGGTGTGTGAGGCAGGGGGTGGGGGAGAACACGGTTTACAGCAGGAACTGGCCTCCTGAAGCGTCTTCTCAATCAGCCTTGCTGAGGTGGGCATGCAGCTAGTGACCCATGGATGGTGCTTACAGGGCTGTGACATGGAACACATCAGCCTGGCAGCCTGGAGTGCAGCCATGGGCACTGCCTGGGTTGGGGACTGATGCTGGATGATTAACTTGTCCAGATTTGCCTGGGACTTTGCCAGTTTTAGTACTTAAAATACCTGCATCCCAGGGATAACTCTCAGTACTGGGCAAACCAAGATGGTTGGGAACAAGCTCTGGTCTTCTAGCTCCTTGCAGCCCCTCCCTGCCCACTTCAAACCCAGATCCCCAAGACAGGCACACACACCAGCGTCCTGAGTCATGTCTGGCATTTTGGTCGCCTTGGAATCAGAGTCTCTGGAACCCAGCATGCAAAGAATATTCTTTGCCATGTAAATTTATGCAAAGCGCTGTGGAAGTGGCTCCCAGGCTTCCTAGGAAATCTCTGCTGGCTTCCTCTACTCTGGGCTCCTCTCTCCTGCCTGGCAGTCTGGTGACCTTGGACTGGGGCACCTACCACCCCAGGCCTACAATCTCATCTGCCTCAGGACCACTTTTGCCTCATTCTGGGGCC